TCCTAACACACAAAACACAAAACATGCGTTTTGTGTAAGTGAAAAAAAAAAAAAAAGGTGATCTCTTAATATCGGAAGTGATCTCGCGAGATTACCGAGATTACTCCGAGATTACTCAAAAACGAGTTTACCTCCGAGTTGTACAGGTAAGCTGTCCTAAACTCGTAAACTCGTAAGAGTTTACGAGTTATCACTAGAGATTGACAACCATGCATGTAACAGCCCAATTTTCACAGTTTGTACAAAGGCCCAAAGCCCAATAAGGATGATTTAGTAGCCCAGAACGGGCCGTTCTCAAACTGGAAAGGGTCATTCCAAACCACTAAACTTGCCTACAAATCTTAGTTGAGAACGGGGCGTTCCAAACGATCAAAATGGCTTATAACCCTAGTTGGGAACGGGATGTTCTGATTTAAGAACGGGCCGTTCCAAACATGGCCGTTATGGGCTAAAATGAAACCCCAGAACAGGCCGTTCTGGTTTTAGAACGGGCCGTTCCGGATTTGAAACGGGCCGTTCTGGCCATTCTTAATGCCTATAAATAGCACGCTCTGGCACTCCCAAAAACACACTTTTCAATTCTGACTTCTTTTCCTTCTACATTCTCTGAAGACCGAGGGGAACCTAGAAGAGGAGACCAACCAGATCCTGCTCTAGTTTCAACTACTACCTATCGAGGTACGGGGGAAAAGAGAATTAATTATATGCAAAGTTACATAAGGAATTGGGTAGAGGAGGAATCCCGTAGATTATGGGTAATTTTATAATTATTTCTGTTTGAGAAATTGATGATCCCATTAGATTTTGCATGTATTGAGAATTAGGAATATGCCAATAATTTGTAAAAATGATGGTCTAGGAGAGAGAACGAAATCATAGAAAAGTGTCTGTGAGTTAGGTTTTGGAAAAATCAGAGGTTTTACTATTTGAGTTAAGATTCTACAGAATTGATGATTCAATCAGGTTTTATATTAATTTATAAATGTTATTGTTATATTATTTGGTAAAATTGGTGATCTAGATATGGAATGTGGTTTGATGCCTTCGTACAAATGTATACATTATATCTACTATTTTAATATTGAATTGATAACATGATGTGGCGAATGGTATGTTATGACTTAATTGTTCAATTAATTATGATGCGAGTATGTGGACATGAAATGAGATGTTGTGTAGAATGCGAATGTGATGTGATTGTGGTTCCTCACACTTATGACCAGGGGTGGCACGACTTTGGGTAAGTGATGCTACAGGGGTGGCGTGACCTTGGCATAGTGTGGGATGTGTGAGGCAACTAATACGTATCACTTATGTCAAGGGTGGCACGACCTTGGGCAAGAAATGCTACATGGGTGATGTGACCTTGGATAACATGTCAGGGATGGCACGACCTTGGGCAAGATATGCTACAGGGATGGCATGACCTTGGCATAGTGTTAATTGCAAGATTTGTGATGGATTGGTGTGATTGTGAAATTGTGATGTGAAGTTGATGCATGATTGATAGAATTATGATATGTAGAAATGATTGTAAATATTTCATTATGTAATGAGTTATGATGAGATTATATTATGGTGTGTTTGTATGTGCTTTACATATAGATTTTTTTCTTTTCTCACCGTATAATTTGTGGATGTTTTAGGTGAGGAAGATTCGGCTTTGAGTGGCATCTAGAATGCCAACAATTTTATTGTGGGTGTGCTCTGATATTGTGACATCGGGGCAAAGGATTCTAGGATATAAATTTTTATATGTATTTGGAGTTGTACCTTTTCTTTTGAAAACAATTTGTAAACTCTTAAGTTTTACTTTCCAAGTTTTATTTTCAATTATTTTGGATATTGAAGAACAATTATGAAGGTTTTATGTGAACCCTTCTACCAACGTTGAAAATTTTATTCTTTAGTTTATTTACATTGTTACAATATATATGTGTTAGGGTAGTAAGGGTGTCACATTTAGTGGTATCAGACAGGTCGATCCAATCGGCCTTGAGTTATGAGTCTACTATGCTTGTTTGGTAGATGAATGATGGAATGAATTGATTGTGGAATTTATTGATATGCTAGTATGATGATTGATTATGTTTGTTGTTATTTAATTGTGTGTACTCTAACAATGTTTTGTTTTATGATGAGGATAATGATGATGATGATATTTCCCTTGTGTTGCTAGTGTTGTGCTTACTTGTGTATTGTTTTCTCAGAATTTGGCTGAAAGACTTGATATAGCTTAGTTGATGCAATTCATGATTGCTTATTTGTTTTGATATTTCTTGCTAACATAAGAAGTAGTGGTTGAGTGGTATCGCTCGTGTTGCAAGCATATGTGCCAGTAGTAGTGGACGAAGCCTTGTACTAACCAACTAGAACTATTAGAACCTTGGATGTGGGTGAGACATTGATTTGTCGAGTGTATTAAGAGTTTACGATTGGTGGTGTTTCTGAAATCTATAATTGTAGAGATTGAATCCAAGGAGGTTGTATGTTGAGAATTGGAGTTTTGGTATTCTTAAGGAGAGATTGAAGTGTTGATGTTTTCTGGAGTTTGATGCTTGCATGTTGACTTTTTACGGTTTAGGTTGCATGTGGATTTTATTTCGGTTTCTAAGTCTTTTGTGCTGAATATGTGAGTTATTTTGGTTTAGGATTGTAGTAGGAAGCTTGGATGAGTTTGAAGTGAAAGGAGCGAGTTTGGAAGGGTTGAGGTATTTTTGTGGCCTTAGATGTTGATACACTATTGTTGTCTGGTGTAGGAGATGTTTTCGCTGCAGTTTTGTTGTACCAGTATGAGTATCGTATGGACATAATTAGATTTAATCTTTAGGAAAGTTGAAGCCTTGGATGTTATCTTTTCAGTGGAACTGGAATCAGGAAAAACGGAGGTCTAGAACTCCAGTTATAGTTGCTTGGGTGATCAAAGGTCTAACTATAAGTGCTGAATATATCTGTTGTGGTTTTGAATATTTAGCTAAGAAGATGGCCTGATTGTTGCTTGCTCGGAATTCAAAGCGCAACGACTTCTCCAACAAAATTCCTCCTGGTCCTTCCAAGACGATCCCTGCTCCACTTCCCCCAAGATTCGATGCTCCATCTACTGACAAGATCCACTGCATTCCTCCGACCTCTCCCTCATCGGCGGGCGCGGTCAGCTCCATCACAAATTCAGCTAGTGCTTGAGCTTTGATTGCTCCTCTCAGCTCATATTTAATTGAATGCTCCGATAGTTTTATAGACCACTTCATCATTCTTCCCGCCAGGTCTGGCTTCTGTAACACTTGTCTAATCGGATGGTCCGTACGAACAATCACTTCATAGCTCTGGAAGTAGTGCCTTAGCTTCCGCGCAGTCACCAATATTGCAAGGGCCAATTTCTCAATCTTTTGATACCTCGTTTCTGCTCCTTGTAGGACTCGACTCACGAAGTATACCGGTACCTGGGTGCCTTCCTGCTCTTAGACCAACACTACGCTGACTGCTCGGTCGGATGCCGATATGTAAACCAACAGGGGAAGGTTCAGTTTCGGCTTCGTCAGTATCAGCGACGATGCTAGCGACTTCTTGAGTTCTATGAAAGCTTCCTCACACTCGTTTGCCCAGACGAATCGGTCGTTCTTCTTTAAGCATTGGAAAAGCGGCAACGCCTTGTCGGCTGACTTGGAAAGGAAACGTGATAAGGAAGCCATCCTTCCCGTGAGCTGCTGCACCTCCTTTACCGTGGAAGGACTCCTCATGTTAATGATCGCCGAGCATTTGTCAGGATTTGCCTCGATGCCGCGATGATTTAGCAAAAAACCCAGGAATTTTCCCGCTTGGACTCCAAAGGAACATTTCTCGGGGTTCAACTTGAGCTGGTATTTTCCTATGGTATCGAACAATTCCCTCAGGTCGTCTATATGCCGATCCAAACTCATTGACTTTACTACCATGTCGTCCACGTAGGCCTCCACATTCCTACCCAACTGATCCACCAGCACCTTGTCCATCAAACGTTGATACGTTGCCCCTGCATTTTTCAATCCAAAAGGCATTACCTTGTAGCAATAGTTGGCCTGGTCAGCAATGAACGCAGTTTTATCCTCGTCGGCTGGGTGCATTCGGATCTGATTGTAACTAGAATACGCATCCATAAAACTTAGCAACTCGTATCCCGACGCACCATCGACAAGGCAGTCTATATTCGGTAAACGGTATGAATCCTTCGGGCACGCCTTATTTAGATCGGTGAAATCTGTGCACATTCTCCATTTCCCGCTGCTTTTTCGTACCATCACAACATTTGCAAGCCAAGTCGGGTGTTGTATTTCTCAGACGAATCCTGCTGTTAGCAACTTGTTGGTTTCTTCAGTAATGGCTTTGCGCTTGTCCTCACCAAACTTCCTCCTCTTTTGGATGACGGGCTTTGCACGTGGATCGATGGCTAGCTTGTGGCACATGAAATCAGGGTCCACTCCTGGCATATCTTTGACGTGCCACGCGAATGCTGACATGTTCGCTTTTAACACTTCAACCAATTTCTCGGCATCCTCCTGACTGAGGGATGTACCGACCTTCACCTTCTTTCCCTTCGTCAACGTCACCTCCTTAATGTCTTCCGCAGGTGCTGGTCGGCGATCAAAATGGCTCACTCTGGGGTCTAGGTCGATGGAGTGGACCTCCTGCTCCACCTGCGCCATATACAGTCGTCTTCGCGCCTTCAAACTGTCGCCATAGCATTTCCGGGCCACCTCCTGGTCCACTCGGAGAGTGCCCACAGTACCGTTCGGCAACGGATACTTCACCTTCAGATGGGAAGTAGACACCACCGCTCCTAGCTTGTTCAGGGTCGGCCTGCCGATCAGTATACTGTAGGATGACTGCGCGTTAACTACCAGATACCGAACAACCACCGTCTTCATCTAAGCGCCCTGGCCAAAAGTTGTTTCCAGATCGGCATATCCCCTTACGATGACCTGGTCTCCTGCAAAACCCACTAAAGTTCCTGCATAAGGGATTAGTCAGTCGTTAGGTATCTTCATCCCCTCAAAAGTTTCCCAAAATAAAATGTCAGCGGAACTTCCCTGGTCAATCAATACACGTTTCACGTTGTATCCCATGACGATCGCCGATACGACGACGGGGTCGTCCTCATGAGGGGCCACTCCCTCATAATCTGAGTCCGAGAACGAAATCACCGGCTGAGTAGGTCGCCTGAACTCCGATAAGGTGAGCACTGACCGAGTGTACCTTCTTCGTGCAGCAGAGGTAATTCCCCCGCCCGCGAAGCCCCCCGCTACGGTGTTGAAATCCCCATGGATTGGTCGCTGATGGGCTTCCGACGGTTTTGCTGGCACGTCTCCGGGGGGAGTTCTCTCTCTACGCCTATCCCTCCTGGTGTCATCTTGCGTACGCCTGGGTCGCCTATCCGTCGAGCTTCCCTCCTGCTTTTTCGCTACAAACTCCTTCAGTCGTCCCTCCTTGATCAACCGCTCGATCTGCCTTCCCAGAACGAAACAATTTTCAGTTGAGTGCCCGTGAGTCCCGTGGAACTCACACCACGCAGTTTTGAAAGGGCCCAACTGACGCTCCGTCGCTGCTGGGAACTTAAACAGCGACGCACTATTAACGTCGTGGAGTATCTGTCTCCTGGGAACAGTGAGTGGAGTGAACTTCTCTTCTTCATCGCCACGCATCCACTCGCCTCTTGACCGACCACCATGATTGGCCTGTCGGTAATTGCCCTCCTTCGCACTGTACCGGTCGCGCCGCTTACTCCAGTCTGACCGAGGTCGAAGATGTTTGTTTCCCTCTTTATTGCTGACCCCTGCTTCTCGGTTCTCAGCCGCCCTTTTAACAATCTGGTTTTCCTCCGTCTTGATGTGGCTCAAAGCAAAAGCCCTTACCTCCGACATCGTTTGACAGTTCGCTCTTTCGAGTGCAATGTCGAAAGCCCCAGACCTCAGACCTTTCTGGAATGCGATAACTGCCATCTTCTCGTCCAATGATGTTATCCTCAAAGCGACCTCATTAAATCTTTGCAGGAAATCTTTCAGAGATTCCTCGCGTTGCTGTTTGAGGTCGAACAAATCTGATGTGATCGGCGGCTTCTTTTTGTTAGCAGTGAATTGCGCCATGAAGAGCCGGCTGAAAACATCGAAATCGGTGATTGCCCGATCCGGGAGACCGCTAAACCAGTCGAGCGCTGCCTTCTTGAGAGTGCCCATGAACAACTTGCAACGGACTTCCATGCTCCCTCCACAGATTAACATTTGAGCCCGGAAGTCCGTCAAGTGCTGACTGGGATCTTGCGTTCCATCGAAAGGCTCGATCTGCGGTATCCGATGATCCCTAGGGATCATCTCGGCCTCTATGGCCTCCGAGAATGGTCGAAAGTCCCTAGGGACCTCCGGCATGACGTCCTCCTCAACAGTCCTAGTACTGGTCGCTACTCTGGCCTGCAGCTCGTCAGCTCTTCTCCTTATCTCCTCATTCTCGCGTTGAGTGGCCTCCTCTCTCTCCCTGGATCGTGCATTGTCCTCCCTTAAGCCATTGATCATGGCCATCATCTCTTCCATGGTAGGGGGTTTCGGGTTGTTGGTGTTGTTGCCGCCTCTCGCCATGGAAAAGTGTAGGTTTTTCCGTAAGACTGGGGGCGTAGGAAGAGTTTCCCCGTAGCCCCACGGTGGGTGCCAAAATATTCCGGCCAACGGGTGGACTAGGGTTTTTTTCTAGATCGTGCCTTAGAGCCAGAGCATTCAAAAGTGTGTTCTGTCGCCTCAACTCTAGGGTTTTGAGTTTTATATCATGTCGTTTGTGGGCCTCTTGGGCCCCGATGATAGCGGGATTTTCCTAACCGTTATTATCTCGAGGGCGCGGGAACAAAGGGAACAACTACTAACGGTTCCCGACCGATCGGGTCCATGCCGAGGGCCCAGTCGGGCTCTGATTGATTGGGCCTACGTCCGAAGACCGGTCGGGTCTCTACCGGGTGACCCTCTCAGCCCTTGTGAACGATAGAGGGGTCGAGTTCCCCAGGTCTATTCGGGTACCGACCGACTAGGCCTATACTGAGCCCGGGAAGAATTACTCCTTATGGGGTTTGTTCGTTCTTCCGCCGACCAAGGAGGCGGGTCGGAATTCAGCCCGGACGGTACAAAAAGCAAGTAGTTTGTTTTATGAAATTGCCTTTGAATTTTTTAAAAGATTGGTTTCTTTTGAAAACTTTTTCTTTTGATGGCATGTTCATGCTTTGATTAAAACCAAGTCCACTTCTATCAAAAACATGTCTTTGCTTTCCCAAAATGATATTCAAATTTGCATTTCCATTTGTGAATTTTGCAAGAGAATTTTTCAAATCAGCATTTCCTTTTTCTAAAAGCTTGCAACTTTCACAATCAACTTTTGAAGAAGAGGAGGTTTCACAATGAGTTTTATTGAAGTTTAAAATTTTTTGAAGATTTTCATGTTCAGTTTTCAAATTTTCAAGCTCTTGTTCAGCTCTAATTAAAGCATTTTCATACCATGACACTTTTCCTTTAAGCTTAGAATTTAAAGCATCTAATTTCACAGCCTCTTTGTGAATTTGAATGAAAGCTTCTTGGAGTTGATCATAATTAGGATTAGATTCAAGATCAGAATCACTTACTATTGTATCTTGATCAGCTCCAGCCATCAAACATAAGTTGTTTTCCTCAAATTCATATTCATCACTTGTTGTGCTTGAGTCATTGTCTTCCCAAGCTATGTAGGCTCTTTTTACTTTGTAGTTTTTCTTCCCTTTCTTTTCCTCTTGTTGCTTCTTTAGAAGGTTGGGGCATTCATCTTTTATATGTCCTAATTTTCCACATTCAAAACAATTGTAAGAGGATGTGTTCCCTTCATCTTTCTTATTTTCCTTCTTGTTGAACTTGTAGGGGGATCTCCTTTTCTTTCTTAGGAACTTTCTGAACTTCTTCACAAGCAAATTAAAGTTCTCTAAATTAGAATCTTTAGAGCTTGAGTCCTCACATATTTCTTTGCCTTTGACTGATTTTAATGCTTTTAGAGACACTCCTTTCCCCTTTTTATCTTGCTGTTCATTTTCTTAAAAAATGTGCAGCTTTTGCTCATGCTTTCTTAGCTTTCCAAAGACAGTTGCAAGGGTTAATGAAGTTAAGTCCTTTGATTCTTCTATTGCAGTAACCTTTGCTTGCCAAGATCTATCCAAGCATTGTAGAACCTTCAAATTTAGTTTTTCTTCTTCAAATTTCCTGCCAAGATCAATAGGGTGATTTATCAAGTGTGTAAACTATTTTTTGAAAATCAAAAATAGATTCACCATGATTCATTCTCAACAATTCATATTCTCTTATAAGAGTATGATTTCTAGATCTTTTTACATCACTGGTTCCTTTATGAGTAACTTGTAACGTGTCCCACATTTCTTTATATGACTTGCATTAAGAAATTCTAAAAAACTCATCAATAGACAATGCAGATGTTATTATGTTCTTTGCTCTATAGTCATATTGAGCTCTCTTTTTCTCATCATCACTCCACTCACTCTAATGTTTTTCTCTCTTTCCATCACCATCTTTGGTCATAGGGATATAGGGTCCATTTTCAATTGCATCCCACATAGCAATGTCAATTGCTTCAATGAAAATTCTCATCCTAATTTTCCAATAGACATAGTTTTCACCATTGAAAACAGGAGCTCTATGAATAGAAACACCCTCACCATAAGGTAGGTTGCTGTTGGTCATTTTTGAAATCTTGATTAACACTCAAGAATCTTGCTCTAATACCAATTGTTAGAAAAGAATGGATCAATCCAAGAAGGGGGGGTGAATTGGATTCTATAACACTTAAAAAAATTATTAGAGTTTTAAGGATCTTTATTTCAGCTTAAACTTTTCTAATATGATTTTTCAAGAAGTTTCTTGAAAGACTTGCTAATGGGAATGAGTCCTACATGCTTTCTTGATTAATCTTGATTAAGTTCAGTTTTAAGAACAGCTAATATGCAACACTTTGATTTAGTTTAAAGCAATGTTAAGCATACAAACATATTAATCAAGATCAGCCTTTTATCACTCAATTAAGATTTTGCTCAATGTAAGAGATAAGGGTGAGAGAAGAATGCACAAGTATTTTATCCTGGTTCAGCCACTCCACATGTGACCTACATCCAGTCCTCAATCATAACCTGATCAAGATTTGTTCCACTATCTCAATGAAGAAGTTTTACAAGCATACTACATATGCATATACTCCTACATTCAAGATAACCACTTTCTTGCCCCCAAGAAAGCACTTCTTGTAGAAACCCACTACAAGAATTCCTTACCACTTGAGACACCTACTTAAGATTTTCCTTACACATTACACAAAGAATTAAAGGAACGAATTCACCCGAAAGCTGAAAAAATTAGATTATGAATTCCAAACAAATCTTAATCTGTTTCTCCCAAGAATGTAGTGATGATGATGATCTCTTTCAAAGAATTTCACAAAATGTTTCTCTTCTTGGTTTCACAAAGAAAACACTCCAACAAAGTCACAAAGACTTCACAATATCAGTTTTTCTCTCTTTTGTTTTCAGTTCATCTCACTTCTTAAGTTTCAAAGTGTGAAAGCTATTTATAAAGTTTTCAGATCCAGATAATCGATTATTTTAAAGGATAATCGATTATTTTGTTCTTCATGATTCCTGGAAACCACTCAAGAACAGAATAATCGATTATTTTGCAGGATAATCGATTATTCCAAAGAGTACTTCCTAGAATAATTGATTATTTCACAAATAATCAATTATTTCAGCAAGGCTCTTTTCACCTATTGTTGGAATAATCGATTACACTTAATGATAATCGATTATTTTGAGTTAGCTTTCAAAAACTCAATTTTATACTTCAAAAATATTTCCAAGTATTTTAAATCATCATCACACTTACTCTCAGTCAATTTTGATTAAGATTAACTCATGCACAAAGCATACACATGCAAAATAAACTAATCAAAGAAATACAACACATAAGAACTCATGAGCTACTCCTATTACATATCATGATATTCATATCTTCCTTTCTTGACTGGTTTGTGTCCTTGGTTAGCTTCAACTCCTTTGTTATCATTAAAACTCCAGAATCCATCCTTTGTTATCATCAAAACTCTCAGAATCCAAGGCTGAGTTGATTCATTACCCCATGAATCTCAACAATTATTAGTGCAAAGATATTGAGAAATAGGATATTTTGGGACATGTCCTTCTTTCCTTGCTCAATGCAATGGGTAAATCCTCAGCAAGACTTACCTCCTCATCGTTATCTTCAGGGATCCTCACCTTCAGATTAGACAATTTTTCTTGCTCTAGAGTCGAAGTGGGTTGTTTTCTTCTTTCATATTTTTTGCCAAAAAATTTATCTTCTTCTTCTTCTTCCTCATTGTGGGCCATGGTAGCTTCATTGCTCAGATCTTGGGCATCCTGCAAAGACAAATATAGTAATGACAAGAAGGAGAGCTCCTCCACTTTAAGTGCTTTCTCCCCCTAAAGTGGTGGGCTGATATAAAAGGATTGTGCTTCATGAAAGGTGACATCCATGGTAATAAAGATGTGGCGACTTTGAGGATGATAACATTTGTACCTTTTTTATTATAAGGATATCCAATAAAGAAACATTTAAGAGCTTTGGGATCTAATTTACTACGATTAGGATGATGAGAGTGAACAAAAATAGTACATTCAAAGACACGACTAGGTATACTTGATACTAGGAGGGAAGAGGGAACAAAAGACAAGAGAGACTCTATAGGACTAATGCCATTTAAGATATGGGTGGGTAACCTGTTAATGAGATACGTGGCAGTTAACACAGCTTCTCCCTAGTAATTTTTTGGAACAAACATTTGAAAAAGAAGAGCTCTAGCTACTTCAAGAAGATGACGATTCTTTCTTTCTACAACCCTGTTTTGTTGAGGGGTGTTTATACAAGTTAGTTCATGAACAATACCATTGTAGACACCCAATTTTGTATGGACCCACAAAAGTAATGAAATTGACGTCTATTTGTTGAGATTGGAGGAGATTGAGATTGTTGAGATCACCTCTGAAGATTAAAGGTTTTGATGATAACAAATGTGTGGAACAAAGCTGACCAAGGACATCAACAACTTAGAAGTCAAAAACAAAGTCAAAGAAAAATGTTATGTAATAGGAGTAGTTTATAGATTTCTTTGTTTGAGCTTATTTGTTTTGTGTGTGTGCTTTGTGCTTTGGCTAATCTGTATCTAATCTGATTAGGAGTGTATGATGACGAGTTTAAAAGGTTAAGAAGTTATTTTGAGAATTAAAATAAATTTTTGAAAACTAACTCGAAATAATCGATTATCATTAAATATAATCGATTATCCTAGAAATGACTCTCTGGAATAATCGATTATCCACCAAAATAATCGATTAAATTGTTCTTGATTGATTTCCAGAAATCATGAAGAACAAAATAATCGATTATTCTTTAAAATAATCGATTATCTGGTTCTGAAAAACTTATAAATAGTTTGACCATTTTGAAACTTCAGAACAGTTAGAATTGAGAATCAAAAATTATAAAAACGTGTTTGTGAAGTCTTTGTGACAATC